GGGGCCCAGTGGCATTCGCGAGGTGGCGACTACAGACCTCGGCCACAGAGGCCTGCCTGGCTGCATATTTATGAGACTTATTTTAGTTTATGCGATTTTTCTAGCTGATTCTGTTACGTTCTTATAATAGACAGCCAATGCTACCGCTCACCGATTCTTGTTTTTTAACTGTCTTAAAAAACTAATCGCAGTAGCTAATCATATTTATGCTCTTACTAATTTAAATAAATATGCCTGGCCCTACTTGTCAACTGAATTGTTATGAAGAAATACAAGAAATTCCCTACTGCTTTTTACTTCTACTTCGTTTAAATTGTTTTGCTTTAATTGCACAGTAGAAGAAACTTTTCTTTTCTTTTATTCTGTTTGAATTTATCCAAAAGACATATTTTCTAATTTAAATTAAACAAGGTTGATTTAGTCAAGACTGCCCGACCTAGGAGATACCCTACCAAAACTGGAAGCACCTCATGGTATAGGTAAAAAATATTTGTTTATTTATTAACCAATGCTGGTTGCTTTCACGCTATCTTTTATTAAATAACAGCTTAAATAATTCGTAACTAAACTGAAAATATGAAACCTAAGAAAATATAAATAAAATAATTTTAAAGAAGGAATTCGTAAAACTTATGCTTAATCCAAGTAGTATTGACAGAAAACTCGAAGAGCATTTCAGCTTTTAGATTTTTATTAATTTAATTATTTATATATTCATTCATTTCAGTAAAAAATTCCTATAATTATATTATTTAAAAAATCACTCTTCTATCTATTTTTTGTGTGTAATTTTTTACTTCGATCGAACTCTCATTTATTTCACACAGAATACAATTTTAATTCAATTAAAAAATTAAAAAAAAAAAAACAAGTAAGAGTTTCTAGTCAGGAGCTCCCGACTAGGGGAGCAACATCAAATGCATGTATATATTTTATTTTAGAAGCTATATGTCGGACGGACGGACGGACAGACAGCCGGACATGGCTAGATCGACTCGGCTATTGATGCTGATCAAGAATATATATACTTCATGGGGTCGGAGATGCTTCCTTCTGCCTGTTACATACATTTGGATTTCGCACAAAAAAAAAAACAAAAACCCTAGAACTATACGATTTTAAATTTATTTTCCTATATATCAAGTAATGTCAATAATATTAAGCATTAAACTTGCCACGGGCAAGGCCGGGGAATACCCGCGTTATTTATATTACAAAACACAAGTTTTAATTGGTTTAGTCGGCTGGTTTAAAGGCAGTTTAAGAATAGCTTTCGAGGTGTCAGCTGTGCAGATCTCTCAGCACACAGCGCTCGCCCATATTAGGTAACCGCCATAAGAAACAACAAGAATGTGGAAGTGACTCAGATATGAGTGAGTTTCTGAGTTTAGCTTTCTACGAGTACTCAAACGGTGCCGCCCGCTGTGTTGACACTGAAAAATGCCTGCGGCTCGTGGTGGCCACATGGGCATCCACAGCGCATCCACACTTGCAACATTTTATGACAATCATTTAAGTTAATTGCGGAAAGCAAGAGTTCCCCCGTTACGTAGCTGAGAGGTAAGGCCACACGGAAAGCCAAGAGAGACCACACCAAGCTCCTTGGCAAAGTGTAGGATAAATATTGTGTCTCATTTCCATTGGCAACTCATCCATCTGCCGCAGCCTGCCGCCTTTGCCTTCGTTCTATGTCAGATATCTGAGAGGCGAACAGCTGTGACCAGTTTCTTCATCTCCGTTGCCGTCGCCGACTCCGTCTCCGTCTCGGTCTCCGTGGCCGTCACGCATAGTAAAAGGCATTAGCGTCCGTGTCTGTCACCTTCGTCATGGTCACGCTAATCGAGGTAATCGCCTGCGCCAATAAACTGACAGGTTTATGGGCGTGCAGGCGCAGAAGCAGACGCGGAAGCCACAGACCAATAGCCACCGAGGAGACTAGCTGAGAGCAGGAGCCAGTTGGACACTTGATTTAAAAGCAATTAAAATGCGAATTGATGTTGCGATTGATTTCGTTCGTATTCAACTCATTTGTTGCAGATATCTTCGGTTAATGGGTCACGCAAGATGATGATGCTATGTTGCTGCCGGACCAGACGTACGCCGACTATGTGGACCGACATTTGACCAAGCCGGGCTTCAAGAGCTCCAGCACCAGCAGCAGCAGCTACGACCGTACCGCTGATTTCTTTGAGAATATACCCGACTTCGTCGGCGCATCCCTGCCGGCCTTTCTCTACAGTCCACAAAGCAAGCGACAGCCTGCAGATGCGGACCATGGAGGCACACCGCAGACCCTGCGCACATCCCATTCCAGTGGGCCTGCTAAGGAGCAGAGCGAGACTTCGACCAAGAGCGATAACTGCGACGATGTTTTGCGGCTCTGCGAGGACTTTCTCTGTCGGCATCGCATGCGCCCCGATTTCTTTTGCCAATACCACAAGGCACTCAGGTGGGTAATACATATATCCAAATGTAATTTCCTGGTAAGAGTTCTGTGCTTTCTTAGCTCAACCACACCGTCGCCTAAGCAGAGCAAAGCTTCGCCAACCGTGGACAAGGCAGAATGCTCTGCGGGCTTAAGTGCTTCCAGGGAACTGGAATCCTCGGTGCTATCTGGTAATAACATCAATGATGTGGTCGAACGATTCACAAAGTTCTCAGCTATTTACACACTCCCGGTTGCCAGGCGAAGGAAAACATGCACTAAAACCACAGGAAATATAACCGGTAAGCTACCATCACTTTTAAGTAAATGCACAAGAATGTTAGTTAATTTGCATCTGTAACAATTCAAAGGTAACTTTAAAATATACAGATCAAGTATCATTCAAAACCATCTCCTCGCTTCGCTCTTCTAGTCGGGAAATTCCGACTAGGGCATCCCCTGAACACCCTCGTCTACCAGCTCGCGCAACGCGCTTGTTTGCTTTAGCAGTAATTTAAATAAATTAACAAAAACAAAATAGTACCCCCAACAGGATTCGAACCCGCAACATACCGCACAACTTGCAATCGCCTCCACTCAACGGCAACACCACCAATTGAATTGCTGGCGATGGAGTTCAATGAAGATCTTATTGTACCATAGTATTTTTTATATTTTCAAAAAGTCAATTGCAATACAAATTGATTTATTTACTTGATTTATAGCTCTTGTCACTTACGAACAACTTATTTTCTTTTCTAATATTTATCAAGCCCAGCATTACGAGCTTCAATTTTATCATATATCTGCAAGCCCATATTGCAAATGCCCCAGGGTATTAAATATAAGTCTTTATTTTATTTATTTTATTATTTTAATTTAAGCTAGCATGCTGAGCTTATTGATACATTTTTTGGTTACCTTCTGTGATAAAGAGGCACGCTAATAATCGGGAAAAAAGTTGAGAGGTGAATCAGATTTTTAGCAAATGCAGACCTCCTTGGTGGAAGATGCGATTCAAAGATTTTTTAGGGGAATTGTCTAATTGGCTTTACTTACGAAGCACTAAATAAAAATAAAAATAAATATAAATTAAAATAAAAACAAATTTCACCAGCAACTATTGTTTACCATGGGATCAAAACATTTTCAGAGATTATTGTGAAAATTTATTTCAGTAAATTGACCGCTCTTGAATGGAAAATGTGGGTCGAAAGTTTAATGAACTAAAGTTTATTTTACAAGCTTGAGGTCCTCACCACAAGACTAACATGGACAGAAAACGTTGATACCCACTTTTGCTTCTTTATTCGATAGACTTTAAGCGTTCTTTTAACTAGCATGTAAAATGATGAAAGGCGGGAACGAGGTGAAAAGATATTTTTTAAAGCATACAACTTGCCACAGTCAAGACTCTAGGTTATTAATATAAATTAATGAAAAAAGCGCAAAGCGAAAAGTTAAATAAAATGTATTGCTTATTATCTGAGAACATATATGGAATTTAAAGTAACCAGTATTTTTTATAGATGATTTACATATTTAGCTTTTCTAAGTATTTAGTATTTAAGTCGATGCTGCACAGCATTTTAAAATTTATCTTATTTTCTATTTGTGCAATGTAAAAGTATTTTCGCCACAGCCTGCAGAATATGCTAGAAACAATAATGACGTTTTCGTTTAAATTTACTTAAATACATATTTAATTGTTGGGTGCCTTATTCGCTTTAATGAGATCCGCATTTGGTATACTTGCAGCGAATTGGGTGTTTGAGGCTGTGGTGCAGCGAAATTAGCTTGCGGTGGCGAGAATAAATACCCAAGGGTTACCATACCAGCTGAAACTGGTCTTCGGCTTATAACTTTGTGCAGCGAGCTGGTGTATGTCTAGGATAAACTATTTTCCAGGCGTTATTTCAACGTTTTTTATGATATTTTTGTGAAATGTTCAAATCTATTCATGCAAGGACAAAGTCTTACTGGAAATCTTTATTTAAATAAATAATAATGATGGAGAGCGCAGTAATTATATATTTTTGCGGGAAGACATTATCTTGATCAGAGAATCTGCAAGCCAAATAAATTGCCTCCACTTTCTTTTATGTACGGCTCGCTGAAAATCTATATAAATTCTGTATTAGTTTGGGAAAAGGAGAATCTATCGATATTTTGAAATAAACGTTTTTTATGTATGTTGCTGAAAGTGTATATACATAGATTCGCGTGTTTAGAAAATCGTGTTTGACCTTAAATATGTTGAATAAATTAGCATGTGGCTGTTGTTAGGTGCATTAAATGGCAAACTGCGATGGAAATGATGTGGGAATTATGAAATGCAACATTAACAATAAACAATCAACACTAATTAACACGCGAGAGACCCATAGTTCAAATACTTGACCCCATATTTGAGCACAGCCAGCTCAGACAGAGTAAGTGAGGCTGAAAAAGAGACCTCGGGGCCTTTTACCTGTTTTGTTAAATTTACCTGCGCCAGCACGAGAGCGCCTCGGAGAGCACAACGATCGCTTTTCTACAACGTCCGAGCGGCGTCTGGAGCGGCGCAGTTCCAGCGTTCAGTCTTTGCATTGGCCTGGGAGCGAGCAAGTGAAGTCAACGGCTGTTCGTTTCGCCTCTTCAATGTGCTCTGTGAATGTGGATTATAAGAAAATCAAAGAAATCGAGCGTTCAGTCCGAAAAAAAAAATATCATAAATAAATCGTCCAAAAACAAAACATAGAAGAACTTTCGAAGTTGCTGCTCAATCAAATTGTTTTCTCGCAAGCTGTGTTAATGCGCTGCATACATATATAATACATATATATATATATATATATGCATGTGTATGTGTGTGAATTTATGTGTGTGTGTACCTCGAAGGTATCTAAGCATCTACTCCGAGTTCCAACTCTGCGTGTGCTTGCTGCTGTCTGCGAGCTCAAATTGGTGGTAACTTGTTTTTCACAAAAGCAACAACAACAACAACAACAACAACAACAACAGCAGCAACAAAAATCAACAAAAAATGTCTGCATACAACAAGAAAACAAGCGCGCGCAACTGAGCTACATATATAATTATAAGAAGAATCAATATATGCATATAGAAAAAAAAAAACATAAATAATACGGAGTAGATTCGCACAACTCCGAAAACTATATCGGACTGATTGAGGCAGATGCTTTCCAGTGCTTTGGCTGCTGCCCTTCTGCATTCTTTGCACTCGTTTGTTTGTATTTTGTTGTTTCACTTGCTGCGCAGCCAAAAAAAATTACAAAAAATAAATAAAAATATCCCCAGCAGAGAGACAGTCGTTCACTTCGGGTGTATCGGTATCGGTTCCATGCCCAGTTTGTATGCCGTGCACACTCATACACACACACACACACACACACACATGCATACACACATAGCCACATGCATGTAGACAATCTGGTCAACCTGGACAATGTTTGCCTTCTGTAAGCGTCTCTGCCGAAAACCTGTTCGATCGGGCGTGTTTTGTGCTGTGTATAAGTATACGAAATTATTCAAATAAGAAATATCGTCGTCGCCGGTGCCGACGTAGCACGCTTTTCGTCCTTTTCGTCGTGTGCGTCGCCAAAAGAGAATAATAATAACAATAAAAATAAGGAATACAAATACATCTACAAATACAAATAAAAGCAACGCATTTGAAATCTAAAAACTCGTTTCTGCGACTGCAGCTCGAATTAGTTTGTTTCATTCCTCGCTGGCCACACAAATGTACATCTACGATGGCCACATTGGGCCTGTCAAAAGTTTTCATACTGGATAAATATTTTACGGAATTGCAAAAATTTTGGGAGACCGAGAAGAAGCTGCAGGGTAAGAATCTTTATACAACCAAGTTTGTTTCCTATGTCTTTTGTTCGTTCTACGTTCCCCCACAACTAACATTGCTATAAAAATAATTGTGCAGATTACTTGATTGTTTGCGCAGAGCTTTGAACCCTGCTTGCTTGCAATGTAAAAGTAAATAATTATAGCATAATTAATAATTATAGTATTGGATACGCTTGCGTAACATTCCGCAACTGTACCTTAGTTCCATTATAAGACACATTTTGTTCTGGGCATATCGTATCTGTTGCAGCTCCAGCAGAGTCTGCGATTATTGCAACTATTAGCATAATAAAACAAATTGTCCACATTAAAAACAACTCGATGAACCTATGTGTTGGGCACGTTGTATATAATGCGCAGCTGTATCGCTATAAAGGTGTGTGCTGCTTGGCTTGCAACATATGCCTGCCGCCAGCTACGTCGCATGATCCCCGCGCGCCCATCGTGACCTGTTTTGGTCCCAGGCAATGCCGCCAACACATCCGTTGAGATCTTTAAATGTGGCCGTCGTCGTCGTCGTCGGAGCCAGTTGGTGTTGTTTCTTTTGTGTGCTATTTTGCGAACTCTATGCGAGCTGATTTAAGCTTCTTTGAAAATTACTGGACTTCTACCGATTCGAATTTAAAGTTCTTCTGCATGCAAAAAGTCAAACGAGAAAATAAATTTTTTTCTTTTCATATATATTTGGAATATACGCATAGATGAAACGTTCCTCGACAAAAAAACGAATTTTCATATCTCCAGTCATAGATCACAAATTGGATCTTGAAACATAAAACTTTCTATGAACAGCCTTTAGATAAAAGTTTTAAGTTTTAATATACACAAATTTATAAACAATTTTCACTACTTCACGATATGTTTCTTACATTAATAGTTTAATACATATTTATTTAATTTATTTATACAAACTGGCAGAGAGAGGCTACTAGAAACCTTCTGTTATGCAGACAGAAACACAGACGAAGCTTGTAACAAGTATTCGTAGAAAATATTATTAAATCCATAGACGCTTGTAACAAGCTGCGTCCAAGCGTCTAAGCCAATGCACATAAGATGTATTTCTACAATTAAAATAATAGTGAAAGTAAAATGCTTATTGTTAAGAGTTGAGAGTTAAGAGTTTCAGTTGCCTTTAAGCCCAAACTGGTTTGCTGCCATCACAATATCGAGCTAAGGTTGACACTAATTCGATTTCAAATAACTTTGTAATAATGCTTGTTTTTTAAGTCCCAATTTGCAATCTAATTTCCGCTCTTACTTTTATATAGAAAAAGTTTAGTCCTGATTGACTCACATTTGATAAGAATCAATATCGAAATCCTTATAACTCGTTGGGTTTTTTAAAAGAGTTTAGTTTCAGAAAAGAGACAATAAATTTTGTATAATACACAGAGATTTAAAAGTATTTTACTTTTCAAATAATATTCTCACAGATTAAACCAGTTTCTTTGAAAAAAGGATTCCAGAAACTGAGCAGTAAAAACGGACAAAGTCTAAGACTTTATTAGAACCTGACGACTTCATGAAGAATTTCGATATAGATTCTTATCGATTGCTTGGAATCAGAGAAATTATTTGATCATCGGAAATAAACTAAAGATCGAGGGATTTAGACATTTTGGAGCTATAATTTGAGCTGTTTAGACATATTCGAATGCCATTTTAATGCCCTGCAATGACCGAAAGAAATGATAGCATTTCTCATAGTGCGCGTCTAAGGCGGTGTCTATAATATATTCCTATATAAAAATGTATTCCAATATTCTTAGGCACAAACAGATATGCTCCAGAGGATTCGAGATCAGTTAAAAAACGCAGAAGGTACTTCAGAAGTTAGTTAATGGTCGACAATACATTTACAATAGCCAAATCAAAAACTAATCAGAATACAAATATTTTTGATATCAGTACGAACACGATGCACAAATTTTATTTCTTGAGTAACTATATTATTTTGCATTTTAAATAAGAAAAGAAGGAAAAAACTAGGATTGAAGAAAGTAAAGAAATTTGAAATAGGCTATAGAATGTTACGTTTATAGGGTAAAAAGGGTATGGAAGTACCCTTGAAAAAATTAAATAATTGTCAACGTAGGATAGATTTCAAATAAAATGGTTATCATGCCAAAAAAAATTTCAATTTAGTGTTTGCCGCGAAAATCGAAATGTCTTTGCAAGCGAATGCGGTATCTCCTAGTCGTGCACTCCCGACTAGTACAGTTTTATTAAGTATATGCGTTAAGTCAGAAGCTTATCGGACTGTTAAGGGGAGAGCGAGCCCTTCTTTTATTCACATGGGAAATATTATTAATCACAACAGTTTCTTTCGTCTTGCAGATGCCTCGTCCTCAAATGAGGCAGTGCACCTGCAACAGCGGCTTAAGAGTTTAAGCACCGAGCTGCTGGTCATGCGCAATCGTTTGCATGTGGAGAGTCAGGGGCATGGCCGGGCAGGCGATGTACAGCATCATGGTATTGGAGTAGGCGCTGGTGCTGGCGTTGCAGTTGGTGGATCGAAGGCAGCCAATTATGACTTGAACGCGTCCAGTCCGAACCTGAATCTGGGCACCGGGGGGCTCTCTGCGAATGCATTGCAGCAGCATGCGAACGGTAGCGGCCAGAACAGCCTGTCCAAGGTAAGTTCGTACAAATACACAGAACCACGTACATAGAACGTCTACTGATCAATTGTGTACTTTAATTGCCGTGCAGCATGCGTACAACTACAGCCAGACGCTGCCGAGCAATGCAGGATCCGGCGCTGTCATCTCGGCGCGCAACACGTCCATTCCGCATCCGCTGCCGCACCAGCTGGGTGAGGTGTCCGGCATGGGCCAGAACAAGGGGCACAGCGGAAGTCTGGGCTTTACGGGAACCCTGACGCCCGCATCCCTGCCGCACAGCGTCAATGGCAGATCCAACACGCTGCCCATGCGCTCCTCCGCGGCAAACTCGCTTCCGGCGTCAGTGAATGTGTCTGCGCTTCAAAATAGCCAACAATTGCCATCAACCAAGCATGCCAATCCTTGCCAAAGCGTGAAAACGCTACCATTCGGTTTTGGCTCTGCAACCGGCGGGGCCAAGCAGCAGCAGGCGGCAAACCGTCTGCCCAAGGACATGCAGGATCTGATCCATCTGGCGGGCCCGTTGAACGAGCACGCCGTTATGCACACCCTGCAAGCCCGCTTCAACGAGCAGCGCTACTTTGTAAGTACCCCTTGATATGTCTTCACGGAGTTCTATAGATTCCCTTGTGATACGCTTTTCTTGCAGACGAATGTGGGATCAATACTTCTCTCGATTAATCCATACCTGGATGTTGGAAATCCGCTAACGCTCACTTCTACGCGAGACCTACCGCTGGCGCCTCAGCTGCAGAAGATCGTTCAGGAGGCAGTGCGTCAGCAGAGCGAGACGGGTTACCCTCAAGCCATTATACTGTCGGGAACTAGCGGGGCCGGGAAGACTGCGAACGCCATGCTCATGCTGCGCCAGTTGTTTGCCATTGCCGGCGGTGGCCAGGAGACGGATGCGTTTAAGCATTTGGCCGCCGCCTTTACAGTATTACGATCACTTGGCTCCGCCAAGACAACCACCAACTCCGAGTCCAGTCGCATTGGCCAGTTCATCGAGGTTCAGGTCACGGACGGTGCGCTCTATCGTACCAAGATACACTGTTACTTTCTGGACCAAACTCGCGTTATTCGTCCGCTGCCTAAAGAGAAAAACTATCACATTTTCTACCAGCTACTCGCCGGCCTCAACAGGGAGGAGCGGCAGAAGCTTCATTTGGAGGGCTACTCCCCGGCGAATCTGCGCTATCTCCGCGGCGACATCACTCAGAATGAGCACGAGGACGCGGTGCGCTTTCAGGCCTGGAAAACTTGTCTGGGCATATTGGGAATACCCTTTCTGGACGTGGTGCGTGTCCTCGCTGCTGTGCTATTGCTGGGCAATGTTCAGTTTATCGACGGCGGGGTAAGTAACATATTCTCATACCACATATTGTTTAGACTCTTATATCAATTTAATGGGTACCAAATGCGCAAATATTCTGCAAGTATTCAGATACCAATTCAATATTCGAATTGAGAAAAAATGTGTTAAAATAACAAAAATTGTAGCTTTATGTGAATATTTGAAGTAACAAGGTATTAATATCGTAAATTCTAATATTTAGACACCTTTACTGCTCAATATTTTTTCGAGATATTCCAATAGATGGTGTGTTTTGCTGACGTAGTATTTCGGGCGTGACGCCATCTGTAGCCTTTTCGACTGTTTTGTGAAGTGGCGCCACCTAGTTTTGAACATATATGCTATTATGCTCAGCTGCTTATTCGATTTTTATCCACGCGTTTTGCTTAAGTGGAATGGCGTTCATGCTAGAGTGTCGATCTGTAACGCGGAAGTCGCGAGTTCGATTCGCGCGCAGCCTTAGGTGCTCTTAATTTCTTGCGATGATGATTATTATGGGTAATTTACGTCTGAATTTATTTCGTGTTCGAAATCTGTATATATTACTGAGCAAGAAATTTTATTTTATTACGTTATTGAAAATGAAATAAATCGCGTAAAGAAGGCTTATCTCAAAAAATAAGTAGACAATTTATCTCTATATACAACTACCGCTTGTCCTGACTGAACGAGGGACTACGAGGGTAATCAACGGAGGGTTGACCGGTCCCTTCTTGGTGGAAATGGGGTTCAAAGATTTGGAGAGTGAAGTTTCAAATTCAATGGGGGTCAAAGGCTTTTTGGGCAAAGTTTTAAGTATTGTTCGGAGTGCCCGACTAGGGAATACCATGAATCCTCTGCCACCCAAACACCCAATACCAAACTAAACCACCATTCTACAGCGATCTACATTAGCAATTACAATTCTGCTTATAGAATTCAATGCCTGTGTTATAAAATGAAAGAAACCTGATCTGAACATACTATTCTAGACGCAACATGTCAAATATTGACTCCAAGTATTAAGAGATACTTTTAAAAAGCAGTAAATTCCTGCTAGATCGATTTTTATCGATTGCTTGGAAACGCGTCAAGTTATCGATTAACTCTTAAAGGTTCTAAGATCGACGCGTCCATGCATACGGACAGACAGTCAGACTTGCAGAGAGACGGACATGGATTGTGATGCTAACCTAGAATATATATACTTTATAGGGTCTTCTCCCTGAACAGGTTATCAAAATGTTGCTCAATAAATAATACAATGAAGGTAACGATAGCTCGACGCTGATTACAGCGTAGCTCGTAGTCGAGCACTCCCCGCTAGAGAGTGTTTGTGTTTGTTTGCTGAAAAACTTTTTCGTTGCAACTATCTGCAGTTGGTGCGAATATGAAGAAGAACTTCGGTGGCACTTGCATGCGCAATAATATTCGTTTAACAGCAAACTATTAAGTCTTGAGCATAATAAAGTTTGCTTAAATAAAATTGCCATTAGAGACAGAAAGAAGTGTAGCCATCATTTAATCTGGAATTTTATATATTATTCAAACAAGTTGTTAAAGTAAGCTCTCTGCTTGTCTGTTGCTTACAGGGCCTTGAGGTAGATGTCAAGGGCGAGACGGAACTCAATTCGGTGGCCAGTCTTTTGGGAGTGCCGCCCGCCGCACTGTTCCGCGGACTGACCACGCGCACCCACAATGTGCGGGGCCAGCTGGTGAAGTCGGTTTGCGGGGACGGGGACGCGAACATGACACGCGACTGTTTGGCCAAGGCGCTCTACTGCAGATTGGTGGCGACGATTGTGAGGCGAGCGAACAGTCTGAAGCGTCTGGGCTCTACACTGGGCACCTTGAGCTCGGACTCGAACGAGTCGGTGCACAACCAGGCGGATGCGGCATCGCAGCACACGTCGACCATTGGCGGCGGCAATGCCGGCTCCAAGTCGATGGCAGCTTTGAATAACGCGGTGCGGCATGCCACGGACGGGTTCATTGGCATACTGGACATGTTCGGGTTTGAAGAACCTTCGCCGCACGCTCAGCTGGAGCACTTGTGCATCAATTTATGCGCCGAGACTATGCAGCACTTTTACAATACGCACATATTCAAATCATCGGTGGAGTCCTGCCGGGACGAGGGCATTGTTTGCGAAACCGAGGTGGACTATGTGGATAATGTGCCATGCATTGATCTGATATCCTCGCTGCGCACAGGCCTGCTAAGCCTGTTGGACATGGAGTGCTCGGTGCGCGGCACAGCCGAGAGCTATGTGACCAAGCTGAAGGTGCAGCATCGCTGCTCGACGCGTCTGGAGACACGAACCGCCATGGAGCCGGACGATCCGCGACTGTTTGCCATTAGACACTTTGCGGGTCGCGTGGAGTACGACACTACCGACTTTTTGGACACCAACCGGGACGTGGTGCCGGACGATCTTGTCGCCGTATTTTACAAGCACAGCTGCAACTTTGGATTCGCTACTCATCTATTTGGATCGGAGCTGAAGGCTCTCTATGCCCAGCAGCACGCGCCACGTGGTCTTAGCTTCCGAATCTCACCCACCTCGCATTCCGACTTGCTGAACGGGGATGAGCCTGTCTCCACGCTTACTCAGGATTTTCACACACGGCTGGATAATCTGCTGCGCACCCTGGTCCATGCCCGGCCGCACTTTGTGCGATGCATCCGTAGCAATACATATGAGCAGCCGGGCAGGTTCGATCGCGTAACTGTGGTGCGGCAGATCCGATCGCTGCAGGTCTTGGAGACAGTGAATCTGATGGCTTCAGGCTTTCCGCATCGCATGCGATTTAAACAGTTCAATGCCCGCTATCGAATGCTGGCTCCCTTCCGGCTACTGCGGCGCACCGAGGACAAAGCTCTAGAGGATTGCCAGCTGATATTACAGTACGCCATGGGCATGGAACAGCTGCCCGTGCAGGATGGCTCGGTCACGCTGGCCTGGGCGCCGGGCAAGAGACACGTTTTCATTAGCGAGGGCATTCGCCAGCATCTTGAGCATTTGCGCACGGAGATTCGTAACAAAAGCGCCACCCGCATACAATCCATCTGGCGCGGCTGGTGTTGGCGCAAGAAAATGGGCAGCAGCCTTAAGCGATCCTGTGCCACCGACACCGGCCTAATCTCTGCGCTACCCGCCATCGCCAGCACCTGTGCCAAGCTCGTCAATGCCCACAACAATTCCAATGGCAAGGCAGCCTCAGCAGCTATGGCCGCCCTGGCGGCCGTGGCTACCGCAGCTCCCAATACGGGTAAGATATCTCTGATGGCATATAATCGATCTGCCTCTTACTGTCTTACTGTCTCTCTCCTGCCTGCATTTAGTCTCGCGCCTGTCCGCCAAGTCCACAAATCAAACTACGTGTCTGGGCACCGGAGGCACAGTGACTCGCCCGCGACCCCAGCCCATTGCCGGCACACCACCTCCGGATCCGCACGAGAAATGCGACCAGAAGATTATCCAGCAAACATGTAGTCTCTTCGGACTAGATTTGGTAAGTGTCTCGCAACTCTTTACGAATACCCTTTCTCCAAACTATGAAAACTAGTTTTAAGCGGAAAGAGGCAATAAATTCGTAGCTCCTCTATCGTCATGCAGTTAAATTGTTTTTTCTTTTAAACTTTTTACATATAAACTACACCACTTGCTGGGATTATAACGCTGTGGTTGCCGCCCGCAGGAACGCCCTCCGCCCGTTCCTTTATCACGGGCTTACACCATCACAGCCAATTCAAAGAAGCTGGGCTATCCGCAAAGTCGCATCATGAAAATGAATTTTCCGGAGGATGCACTTGCTAATCCGGCTACAGCCGGCCTGCCGCCGCCAGCCCCAGGTGAACTGCAGCAGCTGAAAAAAGGCGACACCGTAACTGTTGTGGGTGCCTCCAGCGGTCGGGGCCATTTGGTTGTGGAGCACAAAGGCCAAACCTATCACGTGCCCTTTCAGTACATGGAGCTAAGCGGCCAAACAGTTGCCTCTGCCAGCAATGCCGCCAGCAATGCCAACATGACCATATCATCCGCGTTGATGTCGACTGGCCAGTCGAATGGGGTGAAAATTTGAAATCACGCTGATCATGCAGGAGACGCCACTTCAGCGACGGAGACTGTAAATAACTGACATTAGTTTAAGTGCCTAAATTTAAATAATGAATCGCTGAGTTTTGCGAGGACAAACGTATTATGCGTTCCCCAGCGTTGTCCGATGGAGTATTATGTATTTATATTTTTCATATGACAATAGGTTGTAGCTTCCAGTGCCAATCAAGAGAGTTTTTTTTTCCAATAATAATAATCTCTACGGTTTTGTTGTTATATATAGGCTATAAGATACAAACATGTAGTTAGAATAACTCGCTTCTGAAGCCTCTTTTAATTAAGCCCTTATCCGGCTCTCTTCATCATAGCGTGCATTAATAAGGTTTCTCATTGTTGCTCATAGCCTGATTCATGCCCACTTATTCATATGGCAATTTATATAAAAAGTGCTCGATTTAATTTTATCACACATATATTTATTAGTAAGTCATGTTGTGTACATAATGTACTAAGCATCCCACTTCATCCATTAAAGAAATATAAGGACTGTACAACATATTCTGCGTTTATTAAATAAGTAAAATGAGTAATACATATGAGTAGATGAAGTAAAACGAGTACTACATATGAGTCGATGAAGTAAAACGAGTACTAATAAATATGAATGGATGTATTTGAGTTTTCACCATAATAGAAAAGATATTGTGGTTGGTTGAGTTGTCTCACAAATAAAGTAAGCCTTTTTATCCACGCATTTGTGTTTGGCCAATATAAAATTTGATTTGTTATTATCGAACTGTATGAGTCCGCACATATTTATATCATGAGTTTTCTCACTCTTTAATTTGTCGTTTAGCAAGTTTGCACTTGTTCCAGTTGTTAGTGAATAAAATATGTTTCGATTGACGAGGTTATTCAAATCGGTCCAATAGTTAAGGGATTGGTTTAAGTTCAAGCCCACGTTATACAACTCGATATTGTCTTGAAGATTGATTAGATGGGCGTCGAATTGACGACATTTTTCCGCAGCACCAAACCAATTAAAAATATTGATATGCTCGATGTAGTAGTATTTCGGCCCGATTTGTTTAAAATGTTTCGGAATATCCGCTTGAAATGTATCCAATACGCGATGCTCTATATGCACTCTAGTGTTCGAGCCTAAAAATGGACAAGTTTCTTATATTGGCTTTTTTTTAATCAAAAACAATTTCTCTTCAACGTCACCTTCCATTACACTTAGGGATTGGGCAATAATCGACAAAAGTAACAGAATAGTACTTTCCAAAAATATAACATTAATTCTATTATACATTTTAATGCTCAAGTGCAGCTGTCGGAGCTCAGAAACATACTGATTATGAATTAAAATGCCATGGATGATTTATAGGGGCAATTGAGAGGGCCCGTACACTCAATTGAGAGCAAAAGTATAAAGCGCATTCCGATTTGATCAGATAACTTATAGCGTATATATAAATAAATATATATGGTGTTTCGTGATGATATTGAATATGTCAGAACCCGCAGATGGAAGCACTGAATATTTTCTATTGCGTATGCTTCTGGGTTTAAGAGAGCTCGGTGCGATCTTCCGATCTTGTAAGGATTTACCATGCTAAATTTCACTTCATAGCAGAAACGTCGACCTTCTCTTTCCGTTCTCCCTCTAAGGTTTCAAGCTATCAACTGAGCTTCATTGTGAAGGCGAGTCTTTATCATTGTTCGCACGCCAAGTTATTCCTTATTTTCACTTTTCCACTTATTTCCCATTTGTGTGGGAATATGTATGGGTCATTCCACCTAAATTATGTACCAAAAAATTAGAATGAGTCTTCCTCACTTGTGAGGCAAGCTCGGTTTTCAATATCGGTTACCAATTACTTTATTAACTATTTATGCTGGGCGTATCGGAACATGATAATAATACAAATATACCTTTTGTTCCGACTGACTCAAACAAGGAATTACCGTAGTTGCCTTGAATGAGGTTCTTCCTTTGACAAATGCGGAAAAATCAAGAAAACAGTTGTGTGACACTTTTTTGTTTATCATCCAAACGGGGTTAAAAATTTCATTTTCAGAGATCTTTGTTTAAATTCATTTAAGGGCTGTTTCACACTCTTTGGAAAACATATCTCTTCTTGGTGCTGATGGGGGTTGAGGGTTTGGCGGGTGAAGTTCCGGGTTAGAATTATTTTCAAAGGATTTTGATGAAAAATCGCAAAGTCCAAGCCTTGGTGGAAATGGAGATCATAAATGTTCAAAGATTTGTTGGGAGTAGTTTTAATTTCTCTCTGATCTGTGTCAAAGCTATTTTTAAAGCCCAGCACAAAAACTTTATGAACACGTACTTTGGGGTAAAGGCCGATTTTTCGTCAAGTCGGAAAATATATTTAATATGATTTTCGTCAATTTTCTTATCGACCTTAAATTGGTGGAAAATTAATGTCTACTTGGAAAGCAAATCCCCTGGACCTGGTTAGGCAGGGAAATACTAGTTAGTTAAGTTATATTGTTTTATTCATTGAGCTAATCGATATGGGTCTAAGAATATTCACGCTTGTGCAGGATTAAATAAACACATTCAATTGCAATGTATTGGCACATACATATAAGCACAATCATGCTAAAACGAGTTGTGGCGCATTTGGTGCTCCCAAAAGATACATTTGAAATAAGATTGAACGCGGTTATACAAGTATGTTTCTTATTTATAATACACTTAAGTAATAAAACCTGGTGTATTTATCCATGTAGCTAAGAGTGAAGGTAATAAAGACAAGAAGCGAACTTACAAAGGTCAGCGCTTGACTTAAATGGCAACAGTTGAAGTCAATAAATGTCTTTTTAATTGTATTCAGTAGAATGAGTTCCAGACCTTTAAAGGAGAACCAACTTTCTATACAGAGCCCAAATAACACTACCTTAAAGAGTATTAGGAAAAACATAACTCAAGTCATATAATATTTATATGGGAACTATATCCTATAGGAAGATAACGTGATGTAGATGGTATGTTTCAATTCACAACAATGTTTTCAAACCAAACATACTTATATACTTAGCGGAATCAATTTAACAAATAGCATGTTTTCCTAAGCATTTTAATAGCCTGAACCGAATAAAAATGGGTTAAAAGTAGAGTGGGGATTTCTAGTTCAATTTGCTGAATAAATTCACTCGTTCATTTTCTGGCCGTGAACTAAATCGGTCATTTAGTTCACTCGTTCGGCTATTCAGTCGGTCATGAACTATGCGCTTAGTTCAGTTATGCAGTGAAATCAAAATTGAAATTAAAATCCCGCTAACTTTTATGTTTATTAAAACCTGAACATCTTAAAAGAACGGATGAACTGCTGAGTTGCATAGAACGTTCACGACCGACTGAACGAGTATCAAGAATCTGTCGTTCATGACCGACTGAACGAGTACAGAATACATCGTTCATGAGCGACTGATTTAGTTCACTAATCACTGAATTAGTTAAGTAGTTCATTTTAATGACCCGTTCAATCGAACTTGGTCTGAACTAAACGACACAACTCTAGTTAAAAGGATAACAGCCAGAAGAAAGCATCTCCGACTCCATAAAGTATATATATTCTTGATCAGCATCATTGTCCGTCTGTCTGTCCGTCCAAGGATTTCAGAGCCTATAAGAGCTAGAGGCTTGAGTAGAGCCCACATTTGATTTCTTGGCACAAAAAATAACACGAATTTATCACAACATCATGCTATGTTTCTCTAAACGTAAATTTATTTAATCTTGTCCATTAGAATATTAATGTATATATGTTATTAATAGACACAATAATCCGTATATAAGTAGTTATATATGTATAAGTACATATGCAGGCGTACGTTCTTAGATATTTGATGCATGCGTCGCAAACTCTTAAATCTATCTACAGGAAGTGCTTCCAAGCTGCAGCAAATGGCTAAAGAAGATCAAAGTTGTTCGTTCAGATACATTTGTTCAAGCCCAAAACAGATCGTACATAATTAAAATCAGTATGATATTTCATAATCAAAATATAAAACGAGACTTTCAAGTGACACAATAAAATATTATTTATTTCTCATATACTTAATAACTCAACGTGTAAGCGGGAAACTAACTTGCACTTCTATGATTCGGGATCCAGCAAATAAGTTGCCTATGGCAACTATCATGTGCATACTTACATATATAGATACAGATATAGTTATATAGTTATATATATATATATATATATATATATATGTGGGTGTGTATACATATTTTGTGTGTTAATACTAAGGCATACCTATTAAAAGATTTTTTGCGCGAGTTTAATTACAGTTCAATTTTGTTATAGCTTGTATTGTACTTGTTTCTACATTTTACTAAATAGGTTATATTTTTCGATTTAGGCATTAAGACGAGCGCGAGAGCGAGAGTGGATTATGATCTTAATATTAAAAGATTGAGCGTGCATAAATTCATTTAACAGTGGAGCAACAATTTAATGCTTTTTCAAATGTTTTTTTTCGGAATTTTTAAAACTAAAACGCGAATATTCGGATATAACATACGTCTCTTTGTTTAATGAATGTATGTTATACATAGAAATTGCAATTAATATGTATATACAATGCGTTAGAGGAAGTATCAATCGTCACGTAATTAAATGGGTTTTAGTTCAACTGATTGCGAAAAGTTTTGGCAAACGCCTTAAATTGTACATTAGAATAATAAAGTCAGTGGCAATCGTAACAATATCTGTTGTTAATTTCTTGTAGCTTTTAAGGAATTCGGTTTTTTTTTTGTTTTAAGTCAGACATTATCGTGGTCATAGTCATCGCCCATTTAAGCATCGGTCTCGGATCGTCGCCTTCGACCTGGTCCGCCGGGAAAGTTGGCTGCAGCCAGGCCCATGCGATGTTTTGCCTCCTGAGTGCCGGAATATCCGCGTGCCAATCCAAAGTCCACGGTGCGTTTCGAGCTAGCAAAGTGCAGGAATGAAATCGAGAGCCCTTAAACTATGCCCTATAAGCTTACTTTTCCAAATCGTTGCGTGCTCGTATTATAGTGCGACCGAAGCGTGTCATCAGCTCCATCAAAAGGTCGTCCGGCACCTCCTCGAGCTCGTTGTAGGCGCCATAGCCGCCGTTGGCACTTTGACTGTGAGGCGATATACATATATTAACATTACTATAAGTCCTATGATTCGAGCTTGTCAATTTGATTGGATAATTAACTTAAAGGTAAAATTCGGCAGTGTATACAGCACAAATAATTAAATAATCAGGGCCTCTAATTACTTTTGCTTGTAATTGACATTCGCTTCATATCTTGCATTTGCATGGAAATCGAAAGGCGGCCGCTCGCCCACTCGTCAGGTTAATGTCGTCAAAGTTAATGAATGTAATTTTCCATTTGAGCAGTTGCTCATTAAAAGAACTTTAACATTATTTAAATGGGTCAAGATGTATGCATAGGTAAATCATGCACATTCGAAACAAACTTTTAATTATTTCAAGTGTCTCCTTAGACTTACGATTTACGAAACACGTGTGCTCTTAAAACTGTCACATCAGCAAGAGCTTACATTCAGTTAATTAAGAAAAGGCACATTAAAAAAAATAGATAAAAGAAAATGCTCAGACAACATAAAGTCTGAAAATGACTAGGGACATGCACTGCCATCCAGGCACATCTCCCACATTTGCTGTCGAAATTGGCCTCAACATCGCAGCCGATGTCGAAAAAGTCCTCCATATCTCTGTTTGCCTTTTATAATGTCCTGTGTGGCGGGCAGCCTTGTCTAAGCTGAACACACACACTCTGAACAAACGCTGGCAATTGGTTTCCGCAAATATTTTTCCAGCACTCGCAGCCAAAGTGCCAGAAATTAATTAGCTCATGCTGGCGGCGTCTGCGAAACTGTCTAAAAAGAAAATTTTGTGGCGAATGAGGTAATTGCACAACTACCTGGGCATGGGTGCAGCATCGGTCCTCGAGATTGCCAGTAGATAGATGGTCATCAATGCCAAGGTGCAGCAAGCGAATCTATTTGTCATCATTGCGTTGCGATTTTATTATCTAAAGGAAAAAAAAAAAACAGAATAAATATCTGATTAAAGTAGTATTTAAATCTTTCAGGCACACGAAACCCATTAAAACTAGCCACCTGGCGAATGGGCAACTAGCCTCAAGCAATGCTAGCCAACACATAGCACCGAGGCAACAATTAAAAATCGATCGAGCCCTCTCGGTATAATTTCAGTCCGACTTTAGGCATCCCCTCCAACGTACACAAACGGAAGTCACAGGAATACCATTTCCCATTAAGTGATTCATTAACTGCTCAACGAAGCAGAAGCCGGTGCCCTGGCAGCGACTCTCCCTGCTCCCCACCAGCCGTTCTCCCCTTCTCGCCTCTTGACTTCCGTTTGTCCATTTGACTGCAGCTGAGTCAGATGGAGTTGACATCTTGCCGGCAGTGGCCATAAAAGCTGCTCCTCTGCGTTTTGCATTCAGTACTTCCTGTCGTCGGCCTGTCCTGGTCGTGCCCCATAATACTGTTGTCACTGTTATGTTTACAGTTGCAAAAGTTTAACAGCTCTGTGACATTTCTCTGACATCACCCGGTAACAATACACCCTTGTCAGCCAGGTCGACAACAGCTCCCACTACAAGTCAGACAAATGAATTGACTCACTGGACCTGTCCTGTGCCCGCTGCTGACTTCTAACTCATCTGGCACTCCGGTCGTTTGTCAGAAATTGCCGGGGGACATGCACAATTCAAGTGCATTTTCATTGATAGACGAGCGAATTTTGTCATCCCCACATGTTATTGATTGCCTGTGATGGAGCCAATGTCATTAGTACTGGCGGCGGATCGGTGGTAATAAATCCAGTATGGCTCAAATGATTTGATAATGGTAATGGGAAAACATAAATTAAACTGCAGCAAATATTCATACATGCATTTTTTCGAAATTAGTAATTATTTTCAAAATCTAATATCATATTAAGAGGATTGCGAATTCGTTTGCGCCGAATGATCGACTTTTAAAATGATTTTTAACAATGCGATTTGAAAACCAAAACCTAATGACATTAAAGTAATGCGATGAGCCTTACTTTTATACTTCATACCTTCAATTAATTCAATTAGTACAAAGACAAACTACGACCAACTAATTACTCCCTATTTAGGAGAACGGACTAAAGCCGAAAGAGGTCAACTGCAAGACAATGTCAAACGCATGAGCGGACAATTACGACTGCCGATTGCTCTGGCCACCGGGGGCTGTTATTACGGAAAAATGGGCAAACTTTTCTTTAACCTTGGACTCGCATCTGGCAAAGAAAGGCCAAGGCCCATCAGGGAACAGTTGCCAGTTGCAGATAAAAAACGTGCCGGTTTCACCTACCCGAGTCAGCGCCCGCTGCGACTCTTAAGCCATTTTGAGAGCAGATTTCAAATCAAATAAATTGGACCAGCATTTGAAAATAAAAGGAATGACTGAAGCAAAACCACACACACACACACACAATAAGATCAATTTGTGAGTACGTTTTATTACACAAGCGTTTGCCTGTTTGCTGTGGCAATGCGAAGCCACAGGTTGTTGGATGCGTGTAGTGTGGTATTTTTGTGTGTCCTTTGTAAAACTGGACGAGAAAAAGGGCAACAACAACGAATGTTCATCGCACTTTCTACAAATATAGTAATAAACGGATTTTACGCAACGCCGGACAAGTTCCGTGCAACCCAGTTACTTTTTCATACCCTGTAAATGCAAGCTATAAGCCAATAAGAATTTTTCTTAATATCGTTAAAATATTTATTAACGATTTGTGGCATATCAAATAGTATCTCAACCTTTGAACTGAATTTTCATGGTAAATTTTTTAATTTCATTTTTAATCTCGGAAAACTCAGGGCCGCTTACAGGGCATCATTTAGTCGGTTACTTTTGACTATGGAACAAGAGCAACTAGTAGGTTCTTTTGTTTCCATTTATTGGTATTCCATGGGATCACAGTGCGTATGATTGCCGGGTGGCTTTGGGTATTTGGTGTGTGTGATTATTAGACAGCTCCAGCGACAGTTCAGTGAAGCGATGGGCATATGAATGAGTGCGCTTGTCTGACCATCCGTTTATCAATCATTTTCGCATTTGATTTATGGCCGACCGACCACGCGGCTATAATGAGTAGTCCATAAATATATATAACGCATACGCCCTGGGTGACGGTACCAGTTACGGCCCAGCCAAGTGTAAAGCGCTGCGCACATAAATTTCGATTTATTTTTTATATATACAGATATATGTGTACATTTATTTGCTCGTGGCGCTGATATTCAACCGTGAGCTGGTCACAATCGTCCATTTGTGTTTGTGTACAAGCCTTAAAGGCTTAGCTGGTACGCAAATACAAATTATCCGAAAATAATAAACATATAATAATATTTGCGCTCAAACAAGCAGAATATCTGCAACAATTGTTAGGTCAGTGCACAATAACTAAATATTTATAATGTTTGTCTCCAGCAAACAAACGAGTTTTCATAACCAGCCGGATACGTGAATTGGCTGCAACTTCTAATACATCTCCGCCTTGCACTCTTCTGGAATCTAGCGACTGATGTGTGCGTCTCCTCGTTTCCACGGGGCTTTGACGCTGACACTGAACGATTCGCTGCCAGGACTCAGTCATTCGAATTTTATGCTCTCAGCTATCCAAGTGCCAGGCGATTAATTGTAAAATGCAGCTGATAGTATGGTCAAATGACGCTTGAAGCTAACAAAGCGCAAATGCCAACAGTTTTTTATTTGACAGCACTCAACTGAACAGAATCATCATTTCAATGGTACCAACAAAATCCCAATAAACTTAAATCAATCTAATAATATATATATGTTGCAATGATTCTAGAACATTTATAAGGTTACTTTATGCAATTTTGAAATAGGGTGAAGCTGAACCCATTCAAAATGGGTAAGAAGCGTATAATGTATATGTGCAGAAGAAAGCACCTCCTACCCCATAAAGTATTTATATTCTTGATCATGCTCGTCTCTCCGTATATATGAACGCAGTACATATAAGAGCTACAGACTTGAAATAGGAACATATGTCCTTCAGCGCAGTACTTGTTTGTTTCCAGTCGAACTTGCCATGTCCCCCTGTCTGTTTGTCCGTATTAATAAAAGCGTCTTTCTCAGAACCTATAAATGCTCGAGACTTGTAATCTTAAGCGTAGTCTCTCCTAGTGTTTGCGCCGTACGAATTTGTGTCGGATAATAGAAAATTTTGCCCATTTCAAAGCAATCGATATGAATCGAAAGGTTTCACCAAATTTGCCACCAAATAATGAAAGTTCAGGGTATCTCCTAGTCGAGCATTCCCGACTAGAGCATTACTTGTTATTAGTTAAATTTATAATATATATGTTTGCAACATTTTTTTTTAATATTTATTGAATTTCTGTTTCATTTTCTTATGAGCTTATAGCTTAATTTGTATCTAAGGAAACACACAGGCGGCCGAACCAATATTATTCCATGTAATATAATATCTCTCCAAATATCTCTTTCTTACATAAGCAAAGCACATTTCAAAAAAAAAAATGGTGAAACAAGTGTCAGTATCAGACCCAATGCGCAATGCCCTTTCAGCAACTATAATGTTATGGAAATTAAAGTGTGAATTCTTATCTTCTGTCTCTTCTGGATTCTTATATCTGTCTCAGTAATTTACCAGTAAAACGAAGAGATTTGTGCATTTCACAAATTTTACTCAAAACTAATACGACTCCTTTTTACTTAGTGCACAGTGTGTAAAATATAAATTTAGGTGCAGCTGAGCCTTAAATTGTTGACAGTGTGCCTTGGGTGCGGTTTGTTCCGGTCAAAGAGAAATAGGACACGCAGACATTGAAATTGCATTGCGTTGATTATAGTCAACACCTCGACTCGCCAGTTGCCGGCCCCAGCGACATTCTCGCCCTGCTTGGATGTGCGAATGTGGTTGGTCACCTGCTGAGCTGGTAACTGAAAACGTACTTATGATTTTATAGACTTAGGTGTGGGGTTAGGTATCGACGTGGACTTGGGCCACAAGTCTGAAATTGAATTTGGGTCATTCAATTTCTAGCTGATATAAGTTTTGGTTTCGTACAAGAAGGAAAATACGAGAGCAGCACGTGATTTGATGGTTTATTTGAATTTTGTTGCTGCTCTTAAAGCTAGCCGAGTCGCCTACATTTGGATCACATAAGCGCTGAGCGCGAGAGTCGAATAATATGTAGGCTAACTCACAAACGTCAGGGCAGACAAACAAAAACAATTATGAGAATTATCTACGCGCGTAATAGCACTTTAGTTGCATTAAATTTTCATATACCAAATGAAAAATTGCGTATACGACCGTGTTGCCAGGCGAACAAACTAAGGAGCTGCCGAGTTAGTTCGTGCCGCGTTGTAATTGGATGCTTATTGAATAAGCAACAAAGGTGACGGCGGGGGGGCTGTTGGACTGAAAGCGGCAGCCTGCTGAGTCTTTAGATATTTATCAAATTATTCCGTTTGTCAAATTAAGCAAACGAGTCGTTCATGACGCAGCCGTAGAATTAATATGGATTCGCATTCGGAATCGGAAGTCGCAAGCCATTTTTTTTTTAGCCATTTTATTTTCTTTGATTTTACTACACTAATCTGCTCGAACTGTCAATTGCGCGACAGCGACGGTCGGAATTGAAAGAAATCAGAAAATGTCTCACAAATAACTCTAATTAACTGCCACGCCCAAACCACAAAATGGCTAAAAAGGGTCTAATGTATTTGTGCAAATGTAAGTATACACATTCTTGATCAGCATCAATAGCCGAGTCGATCTAGCCATGTGTACCTGTCTTTCCGTCCGTTTATGAATAGTATAAAAATATAGATCAAGCATGATTTTATGCAGAAAGTAGTAGCCAGGTTAATTAAAAAAAAAAGTTACTATTAATACAAAATATACATCTTATCTTGCTTTATATTCATAATTCATACCTCTATCGTAAAGGGCTGGACACTCAAGGCC